CCTCTGTGGTGCTACGCCAGCGTCTGGAGAGCACCTGCGGTTGGCCCCGGGACCCGCGCGGCCCAGCGTGTGTGCCGCCCCGCGGGTCGGGAGCGGGCTGGCTGGCACACCCCATAAACGTAGGCATCCCCAAATGTAGGGAGTTGGGGGCTGGCCGGCTGACAACCCACAGACACCAAGGTCCCCAAATGTTGAGGTCTGGCCAGACTGGGGCACACCATCCGTGGACACACGTCCTCAAATGTAGAGTCAGGGTGGGATGGCTGGCACCCGCAGAGACCTGGGGTTGCCTTTCCCAGGAGAAAGGAGTTCCGTGTAGACGTGTTTCAATATTTTAATCCGACCAGGTCAGGGTAAGGCAAGCACCTGACGCTCCTTGGATGTGGTTGGCAAGTTCCATCAGCCGGAATTTTACCACGTTCGGAGAACCTGTTAGTTGCACACACGAAGTGGCTGGTTCTGTCCGCCAAGTGTCGGGGTGCCGGTCTTGTTCGCTGTTTTTGCTGCTGGGTGTTCTGATAGAGACCAGCTCCTCGGACATTCTTTACAACGAACAGCGGGCCATGCCTTGCTCCTGGCTGACCCGCGGGGCCGAGAGCCTCTTCACCTGCAGGAGCCCCTGACTGCCAGCACGTCACCTCCCCACGAAAGTCCTAACCCTAGCCTGTCCACACCTCCCGGTCATGTAGGAAGGGGCCTGATGCTTGGTGGTCCTGGCCTTTCAACTGCTACCCTGCTATTGAGGAGGGCTTAGCAGGATCGTGGTGGAGAGGGGAGGAAGGGGCAAAAAGATCTGAGGCCCAGGGAGTTTTTTTTAAAGTTTCCAGAGCAGCAAGAGAGGATGAGAGAGAAGAGGGCTATTTTAAGAAATGTTTCTTAAAATGCATCTTCTCTGCGGGCTGGAATTACACAGTGGCCCCCTGCTCTGCACCCCACCCGAGGGTGGTGGTTTTCCTTCCCAGCCCTGAGTCTAGCCCTGTCCCCTTGAGATACCCTATGGGGGCACCCCTCAGCCTGTGAGGAGGTCCCGTTGCTCTTGTCCCTGACTTGTACCTTCACAATTGCTTTTGCTCCACCCAGTGAGCTTCTACTCACCCTTCAAGACCTCAGTCAATACCCCCTCCTCTGGGAAGCCTCCTCCAACTGTGTACTATCCCTTCCCTGGCCCCACTACCCCCCTCCAAGGGGGGGGATTCTGACTGCTCTCTACCCTGCTCTTCCTCCACCTCAAAAGCTGCAAATATCCATTTATGGACCAGTCTCTCCCACTAGCTAAGTTTACTTACCGTGACCCATACAATAAGATGTATTTTACGTTATAATTTAGTCTACACATGCACATATTTAAACAACTCCAGAAGCTTCACTAAACAATAGTTAGAAACAATACTTCTCCTGACCACGCACTCTGATATGTTCTGTTGTTTCATTCAGTAGAAGTGCTAAGTGCTACCCACTTGCAGCCTGGCAGTCACCGGGTCCGGAGCCCCAAGGACAAGGATGAGTCTGTGTCCTCAGGGCCAGCTCGGTGGCAGGGCAGGGGAGACGCCTGGCAGGTGCTGTGTTTGCAGGCTTGCCCTGGTGTGGGGGTCCAGCGGGGGAGTCCCGTCACACTCTCCATCCTCCCAAGCATCCCTCTGCCATCTGCCCCAGGCCTTCCTGCGGGTGTCCGAGCTGTGGGCAGTGGTCTGGCGCCACCTCCTGGGATGGGACAGTGCCGCAAGCCAGCTGCCAGGATACTGTGTGAGCCCTCACAACACAGGCATGTTGTGTGTGCTGTTGGGGCAGGAAGCCTCCATCAGCAGGGATTCTAGAGAAAGCCACAGCCCGCTCTGAGCCAAGCACTCTGTGAAGGGCAGAGGGGCCCGAGCAGAGCCCCCCCAATGTTCAGCGACCTCGTGGTCCTGATAAACAGCTATGCAGTCACCTCACCATCAAGAGGCGGACTCCAGTCCCCTCCGCTCGGCCCTGGGCTGCCTTAGAGACCAGATCCTGAGGCCCAGGTGACACCTCATGCTATCTGGGTCGCTCACCGACTTGAGTCTTCTCAGCTGAGCCCCCAGATGGCACAGGGCAGAGCAGCTCTCTCTGGGCCCTGTCCACATCCCTGGTCATGTCACTCGTCCTGTGAGCGGAACAAGATGCTTGCTGTTGTATGGTACCAGGTTTGGGGCGGTCTGTTACGTGCCCGAGTGCTTTGGGTGAACATGCCATTTCAGATCCTTACAACCACCTTCAAGGTAAACAGTCTCACCTCCACTTTGCAGATAGGGAAAGAGGTTTTTGCTCAGGTGAGGCCTGATTCCAAAACCCAGGATGAATCCACCACTCTTGGCTAATATGAGGCATGCGTGCTGCACCACCTAATCCAGATTCCCTGCAGACATCACTGGTTGATTTGGTACCCCGTGGCAGACTTCACTAGTTGATCCAGCACGGTGGTAAACTCCCCAGTCATCTTCCCAATGGCCATGTCCCTGCTAGTCCTGGGTTATAGAATTCCAGCCTATTTGTGGGGGCAGCATGCCCTGCTAACGGCTCACAGCATCTCCCATCCCTGATGTGACTCCTCTATTATCCCCAGGAACCCAGGGAGGGTGCCCTTTCCTCAGGGTGGACTCTGGGCCGGTGTCCTGACGGCCACCTGCCAGTGTGTCATAAGAGCCAGTTGGGCACCCAGAGGTCACCACGGAAACAGCAGACTGCATTTATGGAGGGCAGTGCAATGAAGTAGTCAGAGTGTGTGCCCCAGACCCAGCTGGCCTGGTTTGGCTCTTCCTCCACCACTTTCTAGCTGTGGCAAAGGTCCTCTGTTCTCTGGGTCCGCTAGTGCCTCCCAGGTGGTTGGAGAGAGGGGGCGTGGCCTCGCATCCCACCTCTGCCTCCCCTCCTCCCAGTTCCCCCAGCTGGCTGACTCTCCTCCATCTTTCCAAGTCCAAAGTTGGCATGGGCTGGTCACTCAGTCTCAGAGTAGTCGTGCCTGGGCAGGGAGGCCTCCCACCACCCGCCCCCTAGTCCCACCTATCTGGAGCGGAAGCTCCTGTTCCCAGCTGCAGCCCTGGAGCCTGGCACACAGCAGGGTCTGGGACTGCTTGATTAGTTGGTTGGTTAAGTGCCTGGCCTGGGATGGGCATTAAAACTGGAGGCCGAGGCTTCG